GGGCGAGAGGCAGCGCCTTCCTAGACACCTCCTAGACACCTCCTAGACACTTCCTAGACACCTCCACGTCTCCTGGGGCGAGAGGCAGCGCCTTCCTAGACACCTCCTAGACACTTCCTAGACACTTCCTAGACACCTCCACGCCTCCTGGGGCGAGAGGCAGCGCTTCGGCCCCCTCGCCCGGCCCCTCTCCCCGCCCACTTCCAACTCCTTCCTCCCTTCTCGACCAGGCATCTCCCTCTTCCTCGTCCCGCACCTCCTCCCAGACGGCAGCCCGAACGACGTCGAGGCACTTCCCAGACACTTCCCAGACACTTCCCAGACACTTCCTGGACACTTCCTAGACAGTTCCTAGACACTTCCTAGGTGGTCGGCCTCAACAAGAAGATGGGCCACCGCGCCCTGCCGAACTGCGCCTGGTCGCTCGGCGGCGGCGCCGGCGGCGCGACTGGCTACCTTGTGGGCGAGCCGCACCAGGGGCTGAGCGCGATGTTTCAGATGATGAATGCGATGCGGATCGAGGTTGGGCTCTGGGCGGCAGCGCTCGGCAAGCGCGGGCTCAACGAGTCGCTGCTCTACGCCGAGGGGCGCGAGCAGGGCGGCAAGCGGATCATCGAGCACGCCCGCCTAGAGCTTCCTAGACACCTCCTAGACACCTCCTAGACACCTCCTAGAATCATCGAGCACGCCCGCCCCGCGCTTCCGCCCGGCGAGGCACGGGCAGCCTCTCGCTGGCAGCACCGCCCCTTGGGCGTAGGCACGAGATCTCCCCATATCTCCCCTTGGGCGTAGGCACGAGATCTCCCCATATCTCCCCTTGGGCGTAGGCACGAGATCTCCCCATATCTCCCCTTGGGCGTAGGCACGAGATCTCCCCATATCTCCCCTTGGGCGTAGGCACGACGACGTCAAGCGGATGCTGCTGCAGCAAAAGGAGCGAGATGTGGCCGAGATACAGTCGAGACAGTCGAGATGTAGTCGAGATGCTGCTGCAGCATCATGCGCCGCGCCGCCGACGCGGCCACGACGCGTCCCAGACACGCCCGAGACGTGGCCCGCAGGCGTACGCAGAGGGTTAGGGTTAGGGTTAGGGTTAGAGACGTGGCCCGCAGGCGTACGCAGAGGGTTAGGGTTAGGGTTAGGGTTAGGGTTAGAGACGTGGCCCGCAGGCGTACGCAGAGGGCGCATTCGCGCTGACCATCCACGCTGCCACGCTGCACGACCGGAACGCGGCGGGCGACGCCGAGGCCGACGCACAGCCGAGACACGCCGCCGAGATGCCGCCGAGACGCGCCTCCGCCGCCCCCACCGCCATTGGCGCCACCCCAGCCCCACCGCCCTCGCCACCGCCCCCTCCGGCCTCAGGCGGGCGCCATGCTCGACTCGATCATCGAGGTTGTCAAGTCGTGGCCGTCGGAATGGCGCCCGCATGAGGCCGGAGGAGGCGGTTGCTAGGCCGTGGGGCAGGGGTGTTCCCAATGGTGGTGTGGGCGGGGAAAGCCTTTCTTGGGGTTTTCCGGGGGGGTTTTTTTGTTTGTCGTGTTCTCGGTGTTCTTTCCGGCCTCTTTGGTTCTTTGGTTTTCTGCTTCGGGTCTGTTTATCTTCCTTTTCTTTCCTTTTTTGTCTGCCTCTTTCTCTTTTCTTTTTTTTATCTTTGGTCT